TAAAACTACCCTGTGCTCCGCCTATTCATCCCTACCCTCTCTCTCTGAGCCCCTGGAATCACTGATATTTTTAATTGTCTCTATAGTTTTACCTTTTCCAGAATGTAATATACTAGTTGGCATCTTAGAGTATGTAGTTTTTTCAATGGTTTCTTTCACTTAGGAATGTGCATTTAGGGTTTCTCCATGTCTTTTTGTGGTTAATAGCTCCTTTTTTATCATTGACTAGTACTCCATTTTATGGATGTACCAGGGTGTGTCTATTCATTCACCTATCAAAGGCCATCTTGGTTGTCTCCCATTTTTTGACAACTATGAATAAAACTTCTATAAACATTTGTGTTCAGGTTTTTGTGGGGGGATTAGTTTCTAACTCACTGGGGCAAATGCCTAGTGAGTAAATTAGCATTTAGATTAGGATCTAGACACAGACCTTACGCTTTTCTCAAAAATTAACTTAAAATGGGTCATTGACCTAAATGTGAAATAAAATTATACAACTTCTAGAAGATAACATAAGAGAAAATCTAAACTTTGAGTCTGGTGATGACTTTTCAGATACAACACCGAAAAACAATCCATGAAAGAAAAATTGATAAATTGAACTTCTTTAAAATCAAAGCTTCTGCTCAGTGAAAGACACTGTTAAAAGATAGAAAAGATAAGTCATATCTGGGGGAATACATTTGCTAAAGACATATCTGATATAAGACTGTTATCCAAAATATACAAAGAACTCTTAAAATTCAACAAGATGACAAATAATCCAATTACAAAATAGGGGAAAATCTGAACAGATACCTCACCAAAGAAGATACACAGATGGTGAGTAAAATATGAAAAGATGTTCAACATCATATGTCATTAGGGAGTTGCAAATTAAAACAATGAGATACCATTACATACCTATTATAATGGCTCAGATCCAAAACACTGAGATTACCAAATGTTGGCAAGGATGTGGTGCAACAGGAACTCTCATTCTTTGCTTTTTGAAATGCAAATTGGTGCAGCCACTTTGGAAGACAGTCTGGTAGTTTCTAACACAGATAAACATGAGGTTCTCATGTGATCCAGCAGTTACACTCATAATTATTTACCCAAATGAGTCTTTACTTTTAACAAATCCTGCAAGATTCTTTCTGCTTCAAGAAACTTCTTCAGCCTGGTCTTCCTTGCATTTAATATTCTCAAGACATGAGTTCAGCTGTGTGTCTTGGCATCCTTTGTTTATCTGAATATATTTGGATATAGTTTCAGACTGTTTATTTTAGCCTTGACTTGGCAACTTCTTAAGATGTTACTTCTGGCGATTGCCCATCAGATACACATTCCACAAACAAAGGCAATATTTATTCTACCCAACTTGCCAGCCAGGTCCATGGTGCCCCTTATCTTTGTCTATCTGAGAACAGTTATCTTCATTAGTAATTGTTCATTAGTAAATATTCAATAGTAAAAACCTTTACAATCTTTAAGGTTTAACTCTAGGAAATATTCACTATCTAAACTTCCACAATTTTTATTCATTTCCCCATCCATTGAAAATGCTCTTAAGAAGGTTATAGATAAATATTAATTTCCAACTGTACTGGCTAATTTTTAGTCTTAATCTTGTTTCACTCCTTCATAGCATATGAACTGGTAGCTTCTCCCCTACTGCTTTCTTAAAAATATTTTCCTTTGGTTTCTTTTATAATTTTTTAAATTGTGAAATGAAGCATACATACAGAAAAGTGCAGAAAGCTTATGTACAAAGTTTAATAAGTATTTTAAAGCAAAAACTTGTTATCAAGAAACAACATTTTTAGTACCCTAGAAGCACCTCATGTGCCTCTCCTCAGTCACAACTCCTATTCTCCCTTATGCTAGAGGTAGCAATTACTCAGACTTTTGTATTGAGCTTTTCCTATCTATTCATCCCTGAATAATATATTTTAGTTCTTCTTTTTTTAAAGCTTTGTGAAGGGAATTATACTTTTTTTGCTCAATATTATGTTTGTGAGGTTCATTAATTTTGTTGTGCATATCTATAGTCTTTTTATTATTTCTGTGTATATCCTATTGTGCGACTACAAATACACCGTACTTCATTTATACATTCTGTTAATGGATTTTGGGGTTGTTTCCAGTGTTTTGTCATTATAAGCAGTGCTGATGTAGACATTCTTCTGTATGTCTCATACATATATACATCTGCATGCATTTTTCTGGGGTCCAGGGAAATTGCTGTGTCATAAAGTGTGGATATTTTCAGTTTCAGTAGAGAATGACACACTGTTTCAAAGTGCTTCTGCCAGTAACATACTACTATGAGCACTACGTGAAAATCTGATTTGTATCACACCAAGACATAGAAGTGCAAACAAACCATTTCAATTTTTTGCCAGTGTGGTGAGAGTATAGAGCTATATCATGATGGTTTGAATTTCCATTTCCCTGAGAACTAATGGAGTTGAGCACCTATCCTACATTTATTAGCCATTAGGATTGTTTAAAAATTACATGCTTGTTTAAGTTTTTTGCCTATTTTCCTACTGAGTTTTCATCTTATTCTTAGTATTTATAGGATTTCTTTTTTATATCTTGTTTATTGGTTCTTTGTCAGTTATATGTGTTGCAGATATATTTTCATGCTTTGTGGCTTTTTCCCTGACTCTTTTGTAATGAACAGAAGCTCCTGATCTTAACGTAATACAATTATGAATCATTTATTTTATGATTAGTGTTTAAGAAATTGTTTCCTAAGTTGGCATTAAGAAGACAGTTTCCAGAGACAGTAGAGGGAAAAAGCAGTGTTAAATCTCCCATGTTTAACTGAAAGTTCATGACTTCATTTTCTATTGTTTTTAAGCCTTTGATTTCTTTTTTCTGACTCTTAAATAACTAGTTTTATGCAAGATGCCATCTGAATTCTTATTCTTGCTCAACACCTTCTCCCTTATTGATAACCTTCAACTTATTAAAGTAGTAGTGATGGTGCAAGTAATTTGAAATTGCTAATGTTTAAGATGACAAAATTTGTGACTTAAATTAAGCATTCAGTTTTATGATATGTCTTGATATCTGGTATGATAAGTTCTTCCTGGGTTTCCTCAAAATGTTATTGTTTATTTTTCTTTCAAGTTTTTCTGTGTAAGTTTTAGATTGTTTATTCAAGTTCTGTTAAAATAATGAAACTGGAAATTTGCATTTATGTCAAATGTATAGATTAATGCACGTCTGTTTGGGGGGTTGGTTCACATCTTCTCATTGATTCTTATACATTAGTCTAGGGGATAACCAGGGTAATATCTCACACTTGGGAATGCCACTTTTAACATAAATTGGAGAAGCCTGAAAGCTGCTAATTTATAAGAATAAAATAATGTCTTATTTCTGTTTGTATTCCTGATACCCAGCACAATACCACTTAATAAGTTATTTTTGTTAACATTTGTTAGGCATCTGCTATGTGCCAGACACTATGTCAGGTGCCAAAGATACAAAATGACTAATACATGGGCCTTCCCTAGAGAAGATTCATAAGAGGAAAAGTACTTACATGTAAATAATTACAATCAAGAGTTATTGTGCTTTGATGTATATATTAAGCACTGGAGGATCCTAAAGGGGAACAATGGTCCACTATATTTAGAATGAGTGTGAAAAATTTCACAGATGGCATTATCCTTGAACTTTGGCTTAGGAGATATGTAGGTATTCATCAGATAATCAGGAAAGACAAAGACGTTTCATACAGTAGGAAGAATAAGAACAGCATTAAGTAAAGGCACAGAGACTTCAGAACACCTGGCAACTCAGGGATGAAAGGGCACACACTGACTTGTAGTGTGTGGGGCAAAGTGGATTTAAAAGTCTGCCTGGAGAAACAGGCAGATAGATACTGTTTGCCTTTATAAAGTTGTAAACATTTTATCCTATGGGCAACGGAAAGCAATCATCAAGTTTAAAGCAAGGGAGTAATGTAATCAGAATTATGCTTTGGAAAAAAGCCTCATCAGTATTCAAGATGTATGAGGCAGGGCAAGATTGGAAAAAAGAAAATGATAAGGAGAACATTCTAATAGTCCTGGTGAGAAATGAGGGTCTAAATTAAGACAGCACCACTACGGATATTGAAGAAGGCATGGGTAAAAAAGATGTAAAAGAGGACCTGGTGACAGGTTGAATGGGCTTTGAGATGACAGGATAGATGGTGCATTTACTGAGGTAGATGATAGCTAAGTGTTACCTGGGGGACAAAGAAAAGGATTAGTTGCATGGACATGTTGAGTTTGACATGCCTGTGGGAAGGATGTCCAGGTAAATATGTCAAATGGGTGGATGGATGGATGGATATATAAATCTTCAGTCTAAGAGAGAGGTCTGATATATATGTAATAGTTGAAATCATGAGGTCAAAGACAGAGTCCTAGGGAGTCCAGTCTTGAATGGGTAACTAATATGAGCAAAACAAAGGAGAAGGAGGAGGACCAAGAGAAAGTTAAGTCATAAAGAAGAGAGTGGTCAGTGGTATCAAGTGCCACAGAAACAGTAGAGCTGAAAAACACTCCACAGGATTTGGCATTATTATGGGTCTTGGTGAAATCTGTTTTTTTGGAGATAGTGATTATTTCATACACCTAACTTAAAAGGGAAGGGAACTGGTAAGATAACTGATTACTTGAGTATAGGGAGAAAATAGAACAAATTTTTTAAAAAAAAGTATAACTATAAACTATAGGGAACAGACAAAGATTATTATGTTAGCTAATAACTTAATAGTGATTAAAAATATAGTGTAACCAAATAATTAGTATCGTAGATGATTGTGATAGGTATGCTTACATATGTACAGTACCAAAATACAAAGCCAAGCCCTAAGGTTCACACATCATAAATACTCAAAAACTAATTGCTGGATTGAATTGGATTGGGTTTCCATTAACATATGAACAATCATCTTCTGTGTCTTGGAATAATTTAGATTTTAATTTGTGTGTTTACTTCTGATGAAGGTCATCGGACTCTGTTTATTGGAGTTCATGTGCCCCTGGGAGGAAGAAAAAGCCACCGACGTCACAGGCATCGTGGTCATAAACACAGAAAGAGAGACAGAGAGAGAGATTCGGGATTAGAGGATGGAAGGGAGTCACCTTCTTTTGGTAAGAATCTTTTCCCTTATTTTAATTAAATTTATGATTGTAATATTGTACTTGTTTGTACCATCCATAGTTAGCAGCAATACCTCATACTCATAAAAATTGTAGTTTTATAGAAGATGTTAGGTTGGGCAGATTGGGGAGAAGTGGGAGAGAAAAAGTTTAATCTTTATTTTTCTCTTCTGCTTTGTGAAGGTACGAATTGGCTTAGATTTGTGACTGAGGAAATAACAGTGATGTAGTAGAACTTAGTTATAAAAACTCTTGATAATTTGTACAAATAATACATTGCTCTAAGTAGTCTGAAAATCCAGGGGGAAATGCCTTTATTAAGTTTCCTTTTACACCATTGCTGATGCTCTCCAAATTTCACCCTTAGGATATGAACTTTCTACTCTTTTCAGTGTTGCTCCTTTGAAAGTATACAGTTCACCCTTGAACATCACAGATTTTAACTGTGAGGTTCTACTTACACATGAATTGTTTTCAAAAGTAAATACTACATTACTACATTATCCGTGGTTGGTTGAATCCACGGATGTGGAACCGGATATAACTGACTACAAATCCTCATCCCCCATTGTTCAAGGGTCAGCTGTATACAGAATATCAAAGTATGGTGACATGGTAGTTGTTAACACTTCCTGAGTGCCATTAGAGCCTGTGTACGTGACATAACTAAGAACCTGGCTTTCAGATTCCTGACCTTCCCATCTCCTGTGACCTTCTTCTTTACTGCACCTTGTTCACTTACCCATAATCATGCACCCTCTGAAGTCACTAATGCATTTATTTTGCTCTCTGACTGCAGCTTTTCTCCTTACGTGCTAGTACAACTACTTGACCTCTCTACTTTTTTTTCTATCCATGTCATGTTTCTTTATTTCCTTATCATACTCTGATTTCATAGCCTGTAATTTGAGTAATGCTTCTGCTAATATGCTAAATACCTTAGGTTCCCTGTTTTAGTTTTATTCATACCTTCACCCCCACCTTGAAAACCATACTTATGTTGGGGTTCCTCCATATCCTACTTTCTCCCTGCCTCTCCAAGCAGGCATGCTCTGCCAGGATGTAGTCATTCAGCAGGGCAGATTGTAACCATTTAAATTCATTACTGAAGTGGACCTTCAACACCTCTTCCCAATTCTATTGTATTTTTTTCTATTTTTGAAATAATTATTTTTCAATCTTCTTAACCATTCTCCAACATCCCCTTTTTCACAATCATTTAGCAGATGCTTTCTACTTCAAAACGAAAATATGTCACCAGAAAGAATTCACTCAACTTCCTTCCTATTAAACGTACAGGCGTAAGTATATGCCTATATCTACAACCGTCTACTTTTCCTCTTAATACAATAAGGGAATTTTTTTTCCAGTTATGTTTATTTCCTATTCCCTCCCACTGGGAAACTTACACAGTTTATAATCTAGTTGACCTCCTCTTCTCAACTGGATTGTTCTCATCATCTATCCCCCCAAATGCCTCGAACCCACATTCCCCTATTCAGTTGTATTCAGATATGAGCTAAGTTAGCATGTGAAGTTTGGCGTAATAGTTTTACTTTTAATACTCTATATATTGCTTTACTCAATACCTGGTTTTGCTAAGCATTGCAGAGAAGGCTGTGTATTTTTTCATTTTTAAATTTGTGTCTTTTAAGCTTGAGTGCCTGTGGACGTTTTTCTGCATCCCTTTGTTTAAGCAAACTTGTTAAGATAGGCCTAATGATGAATATATTAAAAAGCCTTTCCAGTCTGAATATACTGATATTTTTCCACTTGGAGAACTTTTTCCTGTTTTATCTGATCCTGCTCCACTTACTTTGGTCTCATCTCTGTGAAAATGTATCTGAATGTTGGATTTATGATATATGTTCTTTGCCCTTTTTTATAGATTAGAGTTAGTCTCCCATTGCTCATTTCATTATCTGCAGCATCAGTTCTGCATTTTACTACTTCTGCTAGGGTTTTTATTTTGCTGTAGCATTCTTAGTTTTCTTAAATTTCTTCCTCATCCTATTTTCTTTACATGTTCTCCTGTCCTTTTCTTTTAGTTTTGGTTTCTTCTGCTTGACAGAGACTGTTTTTAGTCTACTGATGATCCCCATTATTTCTGACACTATCTTTTGATTCTGAAGTAGGTAACTTTCAGAGATATGATCTTCTTTTGGGCCATCAAAATTATTTCGACTTTCTATTGATTTGTAGTGCTTTTACTGACTCCAATTTTTTTCTTTTTATAAGGCAAAATATATCCATACTATGTATGTCCAGCTATATCCTAAGATTTCTTAGAGAGGCACTGCCATCAGTGGGCTCTTTGTCTCCATCACTGTGTATAGTAATGGACATTAAACTTCCCCAAGTACCATGTACTTCTGCCAGAGGTAGAATGATTGATGGCGAGAAGTGTTTAAAGAAAAATGCTCTTGGTGTCCTGCACCAGCATGATAGAAGGATGATCGTGTCCGAGTCTGTAGGCAGAAAATGGAGGTGTGAAAAAGTCCCCCAGATTTTCAGGTTTTTGTTTTATGAGGTGAAGTCTGGGAGTATAATGAAGAGACAACTGAGTAGATTTCTCTTACTCCAGCTCCATTTGTGTATAGTTAAGAGAGACTCTCTCTTGGACTCTGGGAATGGAATATCTCTCGGAATAAGCTTTAATGGTTACTTTGAGTTTTCATCATCTTCTAGTATTTGAGAAACTATATTCACATTATTTTAGAAATGTTTAGTAAACAAACTATAATATGTTTGTTACAAAGCTTATTCCCTCTGCCCCATCATCTTCTTCTTTTTTTCCCCATAGCTTGATACATTAACTCATTTTTTTCTAGAACAGTGATTCTCAACAAAAAACCTGGGAGTTTTAAAAACATTTTGATGACCAAGCCCCATACCAGTCAGAATCTCTGTTGGGGCCAAGCATAGGTATTTCAAATGTGCAGCCAAGTTTGAGATCCACTCTTCTGGAAACTGCTATTCAAAGTGTGGTCCATGAGCCAGTAATATTAGCATCACATTTGAGAATGCAGAATCTCAGGCCCCATACCAGATCTCTTGAATCAGAATCTGTATATTAACAAATCTTAGGTAACTTATATGCACATTAAAATTTGACCAACTCTAGAATATTGCTTATCAAAATCTTGTTGCACATTAGGGTCATATGAGGAGTTTTTTTTTTTTAAATTGTTCCTGGGCCCCACTCTCACTGAAATTTTTTTTTTAAGTATCCCAAGTGATTTAATATCCAGCTAGGATCAAGAAATATTGATCTTAAGAAAGTCTTCTCTCTTTATTTGGTGAAACTGGGCAATAAATCAGGTGGCCCAGATTCTCCCTCTGATGTGTCAAACACTATTTTTGGGTGCACCTACTACCTTCCTCCCCCAACCGTCTGAGTATCTTTATTGACATTTAGACCTAGGATCTGTTTTATCAGGGACAAATGTTTGACACCCTGGTGGTCTCTAAGCAGTAGAACTTCCTAGATTTCACTTTTTTCAAGTTTCTTCAGTACTGATCATCTGCCTTTATTCCTGATCCACAGTCAGTTTAAGTGCCTTGATAATCAAGTACTCAGTTACATGCTGCAACTGAAACCATGTTATAAACACCGTCCCACTTGTTTGGGCTTTGATATTCAGCATATGCTGAAGATTTCAAAGGAAATTTCTTACTACTTAAGAAATATTTATTTTACTTGGAAAGATTTCAAAGAAAATCTTTGGAAGACATTTCTACAGGTGCCTTAAAATTCTTAAGAATTCAGCTTCCAAAGAAGGGTAGAGGAAAATGTGAGGAAACAGCAAATCCCTCTGTTGGGACTGTGGAAGTTTCTTATTGTAAATTGGCGTATGGGTCTATGAAGACATGAAATAACTTGGAGTCATATTTCTGGAGCAAGCATCAATTTAACAAAAAGATTTTGGTGTAAATGTTTGAATTTTGGCACTCTTCAAAATCTTCTCACTCTAGTTTATGAGAAACATTAGCATAATCCCACTTTATTATGTGACCCAGTCATGGAGGCAGTGTTGTTAGGAACCTGGTTGTGTTAGTGCTGCATCCAGGGAAAAGGGAGCAGACCTCACTGTAGCCAAAGAGGTTATGCTCATGTCACAGGCCTGCAGTGGCTGCTTCTAGTCCATCAGATCCCATGGTTGGAATGTGATTCCTAGGTGAGTCTAAAGATAGGCCCAGCTTTTTGGCTGTGTGATGGTGGTGGTGGTGATATTTTGATTATACAGAAAACTTTCAGTCTCCACAAATAAATTCTACTTAAATTCTAATAAAACCTACTTTTGTTGCTGCAGTTAAACACAATCATTCATATAAGAATGTTATTAATTAATTTTTCTTCCTCTGGTAATCAATGATAACAGAAAACTGCTAAAATTTTGCATCTTGTTTTTTTTAATGTTATCTTTCATTCACCTTATATAATTTGAAATTATATTTTCAACTGGGAACATAACATGGAGAAGTTGTTTAAAAATGATGAGTTTGAAGCAAAAGCTTGAAGTCAGTGAAAATAAAAAAGATAACAAGGGAAATTCAGGACATGTTAATGTTGATTTGTTCCTCAGCCTCCCAACAAAGAATCTAACAGGAGAGATGATAATAGTATGTAAGTTATAACTCTATAAGCAGTAAAAATAAATGAAAAAAACATAGACTTTATCAAATGCTTATTTAAAATACGGTTCTCCAAGGTACTGTGTAAATTAACACAATCCTGGAATTAGACCTTGAATTTTTCCATTCTTAGATAGTAAGTTATGTGCATGCTTCTGGAAAAATGAAGCTAACAAAGAAAATACAACTTCAGATCTTTTTTTTTTATGGGCAATGGCCTTCTGTTTCTATTTAACTCCCAGTTGGCTGATACATAAAAATGTTAATGAGTTTAAAAAATTATTTTATTATAAAGTATAACACCATTGTTTATAAATTCTAGAACACAGAAACATAAATATACAACTCAAAGATTC